ATGGGCCTCACAATGGGCCTCAGGATTTCGTCATGGAGCATTCAAATTGCCATCAATAAAATGCAATTGTGTTCGTTATCCATAGCTTATGCCTGCCCATACCATAACCCCACCACCACCATGGGGCGCGCTGTTCACAACTTTTACATCAGCAAACCGCTCGCCCACACAACGCCATACACATGGTCTGCGGTTGTGAGTCCGGTTGGACGTACTGCCAATTTCTCCAAAACGACGTTGGAGGCGGCTTATGGTAGAGAAATTAATATTACATTCTCTGGCAACAGCTCTGGTGGACATTCCTGCAGTCAAAATGCCAATTGCAATCTCCCTCTAAACTTGAGACATCTGTACTAACCACTGCCGCCCCAATTATCATCACAATTGTCTTGTCAATCACACACACCTGGTTCTATTCCCCTAATTAGTCCGTGTATAAGTGTTCCCTCTGCCCCCTTGTCCTTGTGGGTGATTGTTTGTTGTGGAGGTTAGTGAAGCTCGGTGGAGCTCTTGTATTTTGTATCGATGGGAGTAATTTTCCCGTGTACCTTGTATTTTCCAGTGCACCTGTTTTGTGCCTTGGAGGGTGTTTGACGCATTTCTGCGTAAACCTGTATTTTTCAGATTAAAGCCTGTTTCTGTGATTTACCCTCCTGCGCCTGACTCCTTCAACACCACCTTATCACATGTGTTGTGTGACAAAACTGCACATTTTAGAGTGGCCTTATATTGTCCCCAGCACAAGGTGAACCTGTGTAATGATCATGCTGTTTAATGAGCTTCTTGTTATGCCACACCTGTCAGGTGGATGGATTATCTTGGCAAATGAGAAATGCTCACTAACAGGGATGTAAACCAATGTGTGCACACATTTTGAGAGAAATAAGCTTTTTGTGCATATGGAAAATATCTGGGATGTTTTATTTCAGCTCATGAAACATGGGACCAACACTTTACATGTTGCATTTATATTTTAGTTCAGTAATAATTTCCCTTTTTTTTGCCATACAATATAGCTCAGTATTTGAATTATTTATTTTATACAGTCATTATTGCTCATCTTTATCAAGGGTGCAATAACTTTACACGGGACATTAGACTCAAAGCTCTTTGTTAGCTCTCTACCACTACCCTTCCAGTTGCCCTTTGAGCACACCGCCATTTAACACCAAACTTGTGCTGCTCTTCCTCAGTCAAACACTGTCTTTTCAAATTGTTTGTGACATTGACAGTCTGACACAATCAACACACCAGCTACTGTGTGAGGAATATGAGCCACCTGCTTGAATCTGTAACACCCCCCACCACCACACACATCATCAAAACCAACATCAAAACAGCTTCATTTTCTCAGATTAAATCTGTTATTTAGTAGTAATGATATGGGAAAAATATAATATAACCAAGAGAATAGTGTAGTAGTATAACCAATAGAATAGTGTAGTAGTATAACCAATAGAATAGTGTAGTAGTATAACCAATAGAATAGTGTAGTAGTATAACCAATAGAATGGTGTAGTAGTATAACCAATTGAATAGTGTAGTAGTATAACCAATAGAATAGTGTAGTTGTATAACCAATAGAATAGTGTAGTTGTATAACCAATAGAATAGTGTAGTAGTATAACCAAGAGAATAGTATAACCAAGAGAATAGTATAGTAGTATAACCAAGAGAATCGTATAGTAGTATAACCAAGATAATAGTGTAACCAATAGAATAGTGTAGTAGTATAACCAAGAGAATAGTATAACCAAGAGAATAGTATAGTAGTATAACCAAGAGAATAGTATAGTAGTATAACCAAGAGAATAGTATAGTAGTATAACCAATAGAATAGTGTAGTAGTATAACCAATAGAATAGTGTAGTAGTATAACCTATATAATAGTGTAGTAGTATAACCAAGAGAATAGTGTAGTAGTATAACCAATAGAATAGTGTAGTAGTATAACCAAGAGAATAGTGTAGTTGTATAACCAAGAGAATAGTGTAGTAGTATAACCAAGAGAATAGTATAACCAATAGAATAGTGTAGTAGTATAACCAAGAGAATAGTGTAACCAATAGAATAGTGTAGTAGTATAACCAATAGAGTAGTATAACCAAGAGAATAGTGTAGTAGTATAACTAATAGAATAGTGTAGTAGTATAACCTATAGAATAGTGTAGTAGTATAACCAATAGAATAGTGTAGTAGTATAACCAAGAGAATAGTGTAGTAGTATAACCAATAGAATAGTGTAGTAGTATAACCAAGAGAATAGTATAACCAATAGAATAGTGTAGTAGTATAACCAAGAGAATAGTGTAACCAATAGAATAGTGTAGTAGTATAACCAATAGAGTAGTATAACCAAGAGAATAGTGTAGTAGTATAACTAATAGAATAGTGTAGTAGTATAACCTATAGAATAGTGTAGTAGTATAACCAAGAGAATAGTGTAGTAGTATAACCAATAGAATAGTGTAGTAGTATAACCAAGAGAATAGTGTAGTAGTATAACCAATAGAATAGTGTAGTAGTATAACCAAGAGAATAGTATAACCAATAGAATAGTGTAGTAGTATAACCAAGAGAATAGTGTAACCAATAGAATAGTGTAGTAATATTCTCCCGAGTGGCGCAGTGGTCTAAGGCACTGCATCGCAGTGCTAGCTGCGCCACTAGAGATCCTGGTTCGAATCCAGGCTCTGTCGTATCCGGCCGCGACCGGGAGACCCATGGGGCGGCGCACAATTGGCCCAGCGTCGTCCAGGGTAGGGGAGGGAATGGCCGGCAGGGATGTAGCTCAGTTGGTAGAGCATGGCGTATGCAACGCCAGGGTTGTGGGTTCGATTCCCACGGGGGGCCTGTATGAATAAAATAAAATGTAATGTACTCACTAACTGGATAAGAGCGTCTGCTAAATGACTAAAATGTAAATGTAAAATAACCAATAGAGTAGTATAACCAAGAGAATAGTGTAGTAGTATATTCAAGTAGGTCCCTCCCCATTTAAGCCTGTCTGCTTCCGTTTGGTTCCTATTGAATACAACCCTGTTGTATTTTACTCTAAAGCCATAGCCTTTTATTTGGAGGCTCTGCCACAGACAGGTGTTCCACATTAGATCAACCTTACATTAAGCAGGGGCTGGCAGAGGGCCTTGCAATGTGTGGCAACTGTCCAGACCCCTGCAATGCCCCCCTCCAACACTCAGGCACACACACACACACACACTTTCATCAAACAAGCTTTATTAACTCAAACCCAGTCTGCTCTCAAATTGCTTTTCACTTATTTTTCAGGTTCTATAAAGACCTTGAATTATAATAGTCAGGTGTGTCTTTGCTTAGCAACGTGTTTTTCCTTGTTTCTGTAGTCTAGAGAGAGATTATCTACTCCCACCTCTTGAAACACACACACTCACACACACACTTTCATCGAACACGCTTTATTAACTCAAGCCTAATCCGCCCTCAAATTGGTTTTCACTTATTTTTCAGGTTCTATAGATGTTGAATTAAAATAGTCAGGTTTGTCTTTGTTACCAACGTGCAATGGGTTTTTCCTTGTTTCTGTAGCCTTGAGGGAGGTAGTTACAGTGCCTTCAGAAAGTATTCACTTTTTCCACATTTTGTTATGTTACAAATTGCGATTAAAATGGATTAAAAAATAAATAAATTATCTACACAGAATACTCTGTAATGTCAAAGTGGAAGAAAAATTATATTTTTATATTTTTAAGATTGATGAAAAATAACACACTAATATATCTTGATTAGATAAGTATTAAACCCTCTGAGTCAATACATGTTAGAATCACCTTTGGCAGCGATTACAGCTGTGAGTCTTTTGGGATAAATCTCTAAGAGCTTTGCACACCTGGATTGTACAATAATTGTCAATTTATTCTTTTTTAAACTCTTCAAGCTCTGTCAAGTTGGTTGTTGATCATTGCAATACTTGCCATAGGTTTTCAAGCCGATTTAAGTCTGTAACTAGGCCACTCAGGAACATTCAATGCCGTCTTGGTAAGCAACTCCAGCGTATATTTCGCGTATATTTCGTGTTTTAGGTTATTGTCCTGCTGAAAGTTGAATTTGTCTCCCAGTGTCTGTTGGAAAGCAGACAGAACCAGGTTTTCCTATAGGATTTTGGCTGTGCTTAGCGCTATTCTTTTTATCCCCCCAAAAAAACTCCCTTGTCCTTGCCGATGACGAGCATACCCATAACATGATGCAGCCACCACCATGAGTATTACTTTCGTGCCTTAATGCAAACAGGAGTTATGTTTTGGAATATTTTCTTTTCACTCTGTAATTTACAGTGCCATCAGAAAGTATTCATTCCCCTTGACTTATTCCACATTTTGTTGTGTTACAGCCTGAATTCAAAATGAATAAATAATACAATAATTCTCACCCATCAACACACAATACCCTATAATGACAAAGTGAAAACATGTTTTTAGACATTTTTACAAATTTATAGAAAATTAAATACAGAAATATCTAATTTACATAAGTATTCACACACCTGAGTCAATGCTTTGTAGAAGCACCTTTGGCGCACACACACACACACACACACACACCTCTGATCCACCTTATCCCTGTCTCTCGTGTTCTGTTCTCCCTCTTCTCAAGCTGCTGAGCTGCAGGAGGATACTTTGATTATAGACCTAGTTTGTTGTTGTGTACCGGTCCTGAATTTAACATGGAGGTGTGTGTGTGCACTGCTCTGTACGCTTCCTGGCTGCTCAAATTCTCTGGCACACACCGGAGAACACTGTGTTTTAATGTCATCCAGAGCTACACCTCATCTCAGCACACACTCTCTGATTCTTATTCAGGAACATTGTCTTTTGATCCACTGTGGGGGTGTTCGTTCAGCTTAGTAGTTGGTTCACAGCAGAAGCAGCCTCTAACAGAGAAAACAGCAAAGGCTGTCTTGTTATGATGAAAGACATCAGTGTATGTTATGCACGCGTGTTTGTGTGTGTGTGTGGGGTCCAGGTGCAGTGGTGCCAGCGTCATGTCCGGCAGTCACAGACTTTGTGTGCCAGAGCGGTGATTGCATCGAGTCCCACCTGGTGTGTGACAGCAAGGCCGACTGTGCAGACGAGTCAGATGAGGTAGACTGTGGTAAGTAGAGCTGGGGAGTACTTAGCTCTGGTCCAGGGCGTTACGTGTGGCTTGCTGATGGCTCAGCATCAGCACACCACTACAAGCCGTAGGTAACACCCTGGACCAGAGCTAGGGAGTACTGAACTATACAATAGAGAGCTATTAAGGAGTCATCTGCAACTTTGCTATTTCTTTGCCCTCTCTCTCGCTCTCTCGCTCTCTCGCTCTCCCTCCCTCTTCCCAATCTCTCTCTCTCTCCCAGGCCACATAGTAGGCCTACCAGGTGCCTGTAACTTTGACATGTCCAAGGACATGTGGGAGGAGACCTGCCAGCTGACTCAGGACCCTGACGATGACCTTGACTGGAGGATTGGTCAGAGGAGCGACACCCCAGGAACTGGACCCCCCTCTGACCACAGCCCAGGTCAGTCCTGCCCTCCTAGGACCTTGAGATTTTACTGACCACACTCAAAAAAATGCTGGGTTAAATTCAACCCAATTTGGGTTATTTGGTAACCCATTGCTGGGTAAATATTGAACACACATGCTGGGCTATTTTGACCCAGCCAGTTGGGTTGCGTGAATAACCCAACATGTTGGGTTGTTGGGATTACCCAAACATAGGTTAATTTAACCATCAATTGAGTTATATCACTTTCATGCTGGGCTGACCCAGCAGCTGGGTCTGTTTTTATTTGATCCATAAGTTATTTCCAGGAGGCGTGGCTTATTAGGGTGTGGCTTTCAGATAGATATTTTTTGCCACCCGTGAGAGTAAATGTCATTCTTGTTCACCATGTTAAGTTGATACAGTGCAAATTTCTATTTTCATTAAGTAATTTTTATATCTTATATATTCTGTTATATTAATAACATAATTATTTACATATTGTAACAAAGTGGTAAATATCCCAACATTGGGATTGCATTGGCTTTTAAGGAACATTACAGCTACAAAACTGTCAGTGTTCAACCTTAACATATGTTAACAATATAACAGAACAGATGAAAGCCACACCACTACTAAACCACGCCTCCAGTTTTCTGATCTGAACAGCTGGGTCATATTTCAATAACCCAGCATTAACAACCCAACCTTGCTCTTTTTATAGAAAACAACCCAACTAAGTGACCCAATGCATGCAACCCAGCAGTTGGGTCATTAATACAACCCAGCATTTTTTTGAGTGCACATGGTCTGAACAGGTAGAATAGGATATAACTTGAGTTGTTCCGGACCAAATGACCTGAAGAGGACAAATAGGCTGTAACTAACAGATCACATGTCCAGGGAAAACTCTGGGTTCTATACCACTACAGTAATGGGATGCGACCCAAATTGCACCCTATTCCCTATACAGTGCTCTACTTTTGACAAGGGCCCTATGTTCCCTGGTCAAAGTAGTGCACTACAAAAGGGAATAGGGTGCTATTTGGGACACACCCATGGAGTATCATTCTGCCTGTGTGCCTGAGTTCAGGGAGTCCATTACTTATTAGTTCTGTATACCACACAGAATGCAAACTTCTGTGGCGGATTTAAGATGCTCCCAAAGCATTGAAGCAGATTGACAATGTTCCTGTGGCAATGAGAGGATTTCCGCAGAGGAAATTCAGGCATTCTTCCCTTTATTGGGAATCTTAAGGGGTATTTACAGCTGTTTGGTTTGTGTGCTGTTAAAAAAACACGGCTGCCCAGGCTAGTGTTAGCCTGGAAGAGTGTGTGTGTGTCTGTGTGTGTGTGTGTGTGACTTTCTATCCCTGTCTGTGTGTGTTTATGTGTGCTGGGTCACACACACCAAAGTAGAAAGCGGATCTTTACACCATCATATGATGCATTATGTCACAACAAGTTGACCCATGAACTTTACAAGGACAATCGTTGTTATAGTGGAACAATCGTTGTTATAGTGGAACACATTCATCCAGAATTTATAGCATATTGTGTCCACACACTATTCCCTTAGGGTTCTGGTCAAAGGTTGTGCAATATATAGGGAATAGTGTGTGGACACAATATGCTATACATTCTGGATTAATGTGTTCCACTATAACAACGATTGTCGGTTGCCATTTCGGACATAGCCCATTGTGACTGACCACCCAACTCATTGATCGTGGAGATGAATGTGGACACCAGGCTCTGTGGCACAGGCTGACCTTATGATCTCACTGGGGAGGCAGATCAATGGGCCTAGCCAGCCATATCACATACACACAGTCAGGCAACACACACGCAAGCACACACACACACACGCACACACACACACACACGCACGCACGCACTGCTTAGATACTCTACAATAGAGAATAGAGAGAATACAGAACATCCCACAAAGAGAATGGGTAGTGGACCTCTCTGAGTTGCAAAATCAGAATGATAGGGGTGGACAGGACATTCATCCCCTAATCATGCATTAGCTGATTTACTGTTGCACATAAAAGCTGATTAAAAGTTTAGAAGACAATAAAAACCAGAACACAGCTCTTTCCTAGAATGGAGACAGAAATGAGGAATAAAGGACTTTGAAGATTCCAGAAGATTCTCCAGGGAGATAGAGTATTCCGGGTGGGAATATTGTGGTGTGGGACTCACCACGCATTGAGACGACCCCAAATCCCCTCTAGCTCATGTGGAAAACTCCCACTTAGTTCTGGCGTCGCCTCAGTGGCCTCTCAGTCTAAGAGACTAAAGAGGAGCAGAGCAGAAGAATCCTCTCAGCACCACATGGCTGCAGGGAACAGGATTTTAGACAGTAACCCTGTCTTCACAAAATGTTCTTTGACTTCCTTCTTCCAGTTGTTTTGGGTGGTCCGATACTGTTCACATTTAGGGCAGAGAGTTGTCATGTCACTTTATCAGGAAATATTCTGGGTCTAAGTTTGAACCTATAAGCAAAGTTAGTCTCCAACACATTTTATTTGACTCACTACTGGAGAAATGACTAGAGACTTATGTGGTTTCATATTTCTCTCCATGATCCACAGGTGGAGAAGGGAAGTTTCTGTATGTGCACTCTGCCACAGAGAGAGAAGGTGACATCGCCAAGGTTACGACGCGGAACTCATTCCCAGCAAGTATTGGCCTATGTCACCTTCGATTCTGGTTCTACATGCATGGATCAGACAGGATGGGGACGTTAAAGGTAGGAGGAAAGCTTAAAGGTAGTTCAGTATTTTACTTAGATGGTTCCCCCATCACTTCCATTGATATGTAGCTAGCTGTTTTAGGAAAACTGAACCATGGACTACAGATTCTCCTTGCCTATAGCCTACTTTCAGGCTGAGGAACCATCTAACATTAAGTAGTAAAATCCTGAACTTCCCTTTTAAGTCATGCCCTAATAAATAATTTTGATGTAATATTTGTTCTGTCTTTTCTAGTGGATTAAACTGAAGTTCGTTGCAATTAAAGTTTAATCCACCAGAAAATAAAGTACAAATATTACAACAAATATTTTGGTTAAACTCAAATATACTAATTGATAAAAAAACAATATTTTTGGAAAAAATGTTTTTAAATGGTATCTTTGTAAATTATATCATAAATAGGACTGGTGGAGTTATGTCACACATGCAGCTAACAAAAATATATGGAAATGTCTGCTCTACTCAAAATTACAACCAACTAATTGCAGCATTACCACAAAAATGGAAGAGGAAGTCGAAAGGGGAGAATGTTATGAAAATGTCTGTCGGCCCTGTATTAAAAATCAAAATTGGTTAAAGAAAATTGTGACAAATAAAAAAGTATACCACATTCATTTAAGGACCAAAAAATTGACAGCTGTGCCATATAGATTACAAAATAGTTGAGAAGAGATTTTCGATATACCGATTCCATGGCACATGGTTTATGAACTGATACACAAAACGACGCTGGATTCAAAACATTATACAAAATTCTTGCAACCAAAAGAATGTTATATATATGGGGGATACAACCATCCCAGCTCTGCAGATTTTGTTTGCGAAGAGACAGAATCATTAGATAATTTATTTTGGTACTGTCCTAATACAGTGCATTCGGAAAGTATTCAGGCCCCTTTACTTTTTCCTCATTTTGTTACGTTACTGCCTTATTCTAAAATGGATTAAATAATCTACACACAATACCCCATAATTACAAAGCAAAAACAGGTTTTTAGAAATGTTAGCAAATGTATTACAAATAAATAACTGAAATATCACATTTACATAAGTATTCAGACCCTTTACTCAGTACTTTGTTGAAGCACCATTGTCAGCGATTACAGCCTCGAGCCTTCTTGGGTATGACGCTACAAGCTTGCCACACCTGTATTTGGGGAGTTTCTCCCATTCTTCTCTGCAGATCCTCTCAAGCTCTGTCAGGTTGGATGGGGAGTGTCGCTGCACAGCTATTTTCAGGTCTCTCCAGAGATGTTCGATTGGGTTCAAGTCCGGGCTCTGGCTGGGCAACTCAAGGACATTCAGAGACTTGTCCCGAAGCTACTCCTGCGTTGTCTTGGCTGTGTGCTTAGGGTCGTTGTCCTGTTGGAAGGTGTACCTTCGCCCCAGTCTGAGGTCCTGATCACTCTGGAGCAGGTTTTCATCAAGGATCTCTCTGTACTTTGCTCATTTCATCTTTCCCTCGATCCTGACTAGTCTCCCAGTCCCTGCCACTGAAAAACATCCCCACAGCATGATGCTGCCACCACCATGCTTCACCATAGGGATAGTGCCAGGTTTCCTCCAGACGTGACGCTTGGCATTCAGGCCAAAGAGTTCAATCTTGGTTTCTACAGACCAGATAATCTTGTTTCTCATGGTTTTAGAGTCCTTTAGGTGCCTTTTGGCAAACTCCAAGCAGGCTGTCGTGCCTTTTACTGAGGAGTGGCTTCTGTCTGGCCACTCTACCATAAGGCCTGATTGGTGGAGTGCTGCAGAGATGGTTGTCCTTCTGGAAGTTTCTCCCATCTCCTCAGAGGAACTCTGGAGCTCTGTCAGAGTAACCATCGGGTTCTTGGTCACCTCCCTGACCAAGGCCTTTCTCTCCGATTGCTCAGTTTGGCTGGATGGCCAGCTCTAGGAAGAGTCTTTGTGGTTCCAAACTTCTTCCATTTAAGAATTGTGGAGGCCATTGTGTTCTTGGGGACCTTCAATGTTGCAGAAATGTTTTGGTACCCTTCCCCAGATCTGTGCCTCGACACAATCCTGTCTCATAGCTCAACGGACAATTCCTTCGACCTCATGGCTTGGTTTTTACTTTGACATGCACTGTCAGCTGTGGGACTTTATATAGACAGGTGTGTGCCTTTCCAAATCATGTCCAATCAATTGAATTTACCACAGGTGGACTCCAATCAAGTTGTAGAAATATCTCAAGGATGATAAATGGAAACAGGATGCAGCTGAGCACAATTTCGAGTCTCATAGCAAAGGGTCTGAATACTTATGTAAATAAGGTATTTCTGTTTTTTATTTCTAATACATTTGCAAACATTTTGAAAAACCTGTTTTCACTTTGTCATTATGGGGTATTATGTGTAGATTGATGAGGGGAAAAAAATATTTAATACATTTTAGAATAAGTCTGTAACGTAACAAAATGTGGAAAAAGTCAAGGGGTCTGAATACATTACCCCAATGTAGAAATCAAAACTGGATGGTGTTCAGAGATAGATGGGAGGGGTTGAGTGGAGCTGAAGGGTGGGATTAATAATAACAAGATAACTAATGTAAAATATACTTTGTCCGTAAAATGTATACAGGTTCAGAACTTTTGTGAAACAGCACAGTTGAAAAATATATGGCAAATAGAAATCAAAACTGGATGGTCTTCAGAGATAGATGGGAGGGATTGAGGGTAGATGAAGGATGGGACTAAAAACAAACAAAAGAGAAAAATTGTAAAATCTACTGTGTCTGTAAAATGTATATAGTATGTACAGTTGAAGTCGGAAGTTTACATACACTTAGGTTGGAGTCATTAAAACTCATTTTTCAACCACACCACAAATGTCTTGTTAACAAACTATAGTTTTGGCAAGTCGGTTAGGACATCTACTTTGTCCATGACACAAGTAATCTTTCCAACAATTGTTTACAGACAGATTATTTCACTTATAATTCACTGTATCACAATTCCAGTGGGTCAGAAGTTTACATACACTAAGTTGACTGTGCCTGTGACTGTGCCTTTAAACAGCTTGGAAAATTCAAAAAAATTATGTCATGGCTTTAGAAGCTTCTGATAGGCTAATTGACATCATTTGAGTCAACTGGATGTGAACCTGTGGATGTATTTCAAGGCCTTCAAACTCAGTGCCTATTTGCTTGACATCATGGGAAAATCAAAAGAAATCAGCCAAGACCTAAAAAAAAAATGTGTAGACCTCCACAAGTCTGGTTCATCCTTGGGAGCAAATTCCAAAAGCCTGAAGGGACCACGTTCATCTGTACAAACAATGGTACGCAAGTATAAACACCATGGGACTACGCAGCCATCATACCGCTCAGGAAGGAGACGCGTTCTGTCTCCTAGAGATGAACGTACTTTGGTGCGAAAAGTGCAAATCAATCCCAGAACAACAGCAAAGGACCTTGTGAAGATGCTGGAGGAAACGGGTACAAACATATCTATATCCACAGTAAAACAAGTCCTATATCGACATAGTCTGAAAGGCCGCTCAGCAAGGAAGAAGCCACTGCTCCAAAACCGCCATAAAAAAGCCAGACTACGGTTTCCAACTGCACATGGGGACAAAGATCGTACTTTTTGGAGAAATGTCCTCTGGTCTGATGAAACAAAAATAGAACTGTTTGGCTATAATGACCATCGTTATGTTTGGAGGAAAAAGGGCAAGACTTGCAAGCCGAAGAACACCATCCCAACCGTGAAGCACGGGGGTGGCAGCATCATGCTGTGGGGGTGCTTTGCTGCAGGAGGGACTGGTGCACTTCACAAAATAGATGGCATCATGAGGAAGGAAAATTATGTGGATATATTGAAGCAACATCTCAAGACATCAGTCAGGAAGTTAAAGGTTGGTCGCAAATGGGTCTTCCAAATGGACAATGACCCCAAGCATTCTTTCAAAGTTGTGGCAAAATGGCTTAAGGACAACAAAGTCAAGGTATTGGAGTGGCCATCACAAAGCCCTGACCTCAATCCTATAGACAATTTGTGGGCAGAACTGAAAAAGTGTGTGGGAGCAAGGAGGCCTACAAACCTGACTCAGTTACACCAGCTCTGTCAGGAGGAATGGGCCAAAATTCACCCAACTTATTGTGGGAAGCTTGTGGAGGGCTACCCAAAACGTTTGACCCAAGTTAAACAACTTAAAGGCAATGCTACCAAATACTAATTGAGTGTATGTAAACTTCTGACCCACTGGGAATGTGATTAAATAAATAAAATCTGAAATAAATCATTCTCTACTATTATAAAATAACGTGGTGATCCTAACTGACCTAAGACAGGGAATTTTTACTAGGATTAAATGTCAGGAATTGTGAAAAACTGAGTTTAAATGTATTTGGCTAAGGTGTATGTAAACTTCCGACTTCAACTGTATAAGCTGGAAGTAGAAGCCGAAGTGCTGTTGTCCATTAGTTCACTCCAATTAGGGGAGGGGTGGTAGGGTTAGGGGAAAATAATTAAATATATTTTATATATATATTTACAAAAAATAAATAACTTAACTGGAGTCGTGCATCCCTGTCCTCCACACTTCGTGGTTGTTACAGTATGTGTGTGTGTCCCTTGTTAAGCCACAGCTAAGTGACATTTATAGTGCTGTAATCTCGCTGGCGTGTCACTCAGGTCTACACGGTCGGCTCAAGCGGAACCCACCTGCTGATGTGGGCCACCAGCGGTAACCATGGCGACCGGTGGTCCTACGCAAGTGTGATCCTGTCCAACACAGCCCCCTTCAAAGTGACCTTCCAGGCAGAAGTGGGGGGTGACGTGTGGACGGACATCGCCCTGGATGACATCTCCTTTACCACCGAGTGTGTGGTGGGAGGTAAGTGTTCTATTCTCTTTGCGCTCTCTCTCTCTCTCTCTCTCTCTCTCTCTCTCTCTCTCTCTCTCTCTCTCTCTCTCTCTCTCTCTCTCTCTCTCTCTCTCTCTCTCTCTCTCTCTCTCTCTTCCCCATTTCACTCCTCTATTATATTTACTCTCTCCCTCTGTTCCGTTCTCTCCTCTTCCCTCTGCTCCTTTCCTTTCCTCTGCCCGACTTGACACCCTACATTCCTGCCATTTCCTCTGATGTGACATCTCTCTCTCCTCTTCCCTCCCTCACAATAAACTAGTTTCATTGTGCCAGGGGGAGAGTAGAGTAGTGTAGTGAACTAATGAAGCCTGTTGGCCTGCGGGGCCTGTATAAATTCACTGTGGAGTCTGGGGCAGCCGCTGGGGGAGAAGAGAAAGCAATTGGGGTGAAAAGCAATTATATTTGTATTGTGTTGTTTTCACACACCCCTCCCTCCCCCCTTCCTCCTCTAGCTACTGGAGCTTGCTCCGCTTCCTCTCCTCAGCTGTATACAGCCACCTCTCACATGGGATGCGGCCCAAATGGCACCCCTTTTTTGGGCACTACTTTTGACCAAAGCCCTACGGTCCTAGGGTGCCATTTGGGACGTAGCCCATGAGGATCCTAGAGTACATTAGCATTGTTGTGTTTGTTCATTTGTAATAGCTGGACTATTAAAGACAACATCAACTCCCATGTGTGTTTTCCCACAGGTCCCGTGACTCCAGAGCCTCTGACCTGTGGCGCGGGTCAGTTCCAGTGCGTCCACTCCTTCCAGTGTGTCCCTCTGTCCTGGAGGTGTGATGGGGAGGAGGACTGTTCTGACCAGTCAGATGAGGAGCAGTGTCCCAGCCTGGTCCCAGGCACCCTGCCCCCCCAGGACCACTGTCCACTCCCTGACCAGTACCAGTGTTTTAACAACACGTGTCTCCCCTCCCTACTGCGATGCGATGGAGTTCCTGACTGCCCCTACGGAGAGGATGAATACAGCTGCCGTAAGGGTCCTTGACTGTGTGTGTTCAGGGGGGGATTGTGTGTGTGTGTGTGTGTGTGTGTGTGTGTAGGTGGGGATTATGTGTGTGTGTGTGTGTGTGTGTATACGCGTGCATGTGTTGTAATTACATAAGGGAAATACATTGCCAGAACATAACATTTACAGTAAGAATCCATAAGTGTTTTCACAGCCTCACCTTCACACTCATACTCAGCTGTATATGATTATGGATGAATGATGAAATCTTTTCATTTAAACCAGTGTGAACACTCATCTTCTCCTAGCTCTATTGTGTTGAATAATACATTGAAAGTGATTGAAAACAGTATGTACGCAGTGAACAAAAGAGCTCACTCTGTTTTCCTTCTCCTGCTCCCTTTCTCTACCTCTCTCTCCTCTATCTCTTCCTCCCCAGCTCTCCAACAGTGTACGTTGGGGTCTCTGGTGTGTGAGAGTTCGTCCAGTTGTGTCCCGCTCCAGAAGCGTTGTGACCAGATCGTCGACTGTCTACCCTTTGACTCTGACGAGTCCAGCTGCCATGGTAACATTTGCTTCTACTATACTTAATCTCTCTCTCTCGCTCTCGCTCTCTGTCTTTTTCTCTCTCACTCCTCTCACACCCATTCGCTATCTTCGTCTTTCCTGCAACTGGACGTCTCAGCTTAGACCGTTTCCGCCAATGTTTTTCATTGCAGTACATGAACAGTCTTTCATATTGTCTCCCTCTTTCTTATGTTACATGGTCTGTCAAACGGGGCGGGGTGGGGGTGGCGATGGGGGGGCTTGGATATGGGGGAGGGGGGAGTTCCAGTAACTTTCCTAAAATTCCCAGGTTTTCTCAAATAGAAAATTCCCAGATTTATGAAATCCTCCAACTAGGCAACCGTAAGTGGGATTAATAAAGTTATCTCCTGGCTCCCACTGTAAAGGTAAATCTGTGCATTTCCAATTCATTATTATTTTCACATCTTTACTCTGTTCCATTTGTGGCTCTCAAATGACACATCTTAACGTTTTCATTGATGTGGTGGCCATGTTGAAATTCATAAATGTTCGCTCAGTGCCAACTTAAGCAGTGGCTGTAATGACATTCTCAACTACAGCAATTCTGCCTTCAAAGCACACCTCATAGGTCATTCTGTGCAGTGCCAAAACCTCAAAACCTCAGCTTTTCTGCTGTCTTCGAAAAATTAAACCAAACGGAACCGCCCATTTGGTCGGAATCCACCTGAAATGCAACTCTGGAGTTACACGATTAGGGATTGGACAAATCGCTCCATACAGTGATTGGAGGATTCAGGTCTGAGATATAATTTCCAACACTTGAACAATCCACATAAGCAATGCTGTTGAGACCAAAGTGAGGAGAGCGACACAGAGAGAGAAAGCGAGAGTGAGGAGAGCAACGCTTAAGGAAAGAACACATGAACTTCACGTGAACACGTGAAGTGTTCCAAAAACACATGTTTTTCTGTAACGGAAGAGAGAGAGAAATATAGTGAGTAAAGCAGTTGTGAAGGAAGAGAGGTCCAGGAGAAACATGTTACATGTTGACACTCTCACTAAAGAGGTTTTTGAGAAAATACATTTTCAGAGATTTTCCACTTTGCTCTCCGGAGGCAATTCCCTGTCTCTCTGCCAGGCATGTTGTGATGTCAGAGAAACCTTGTGAATCATTTAAACCGAAAGAGCTGGCCTGCATCCCAAATGGCACCCTATTCCCAATGTAGTGCACTACTTAGACCAGGGCCCATCAACTGTAGTGCACTACAAAGGGAATAGGGTGTCATTTGGGACGCAACCCCGGTCTCAACTGGCTCTGTACGATGAGAGAGTGGTGTTGTTGAAACACATGTTTGGCCTCATTGCAGAATGCCCTCCGAGATACTGTTTGCATCATGGAGAGTGCCATGTGGAGAGTCACGGGCCAATGTGCATGTGAGTATGAGTACAGCAAACATGCATTCACACACACACACTCACTACACACAACCCCTGCCACACATATGATATACAGTAGATGCTCTCTATTTTTATTCTCTCTTCCGACCCCTTCTCTCTCTCTCTCTCTCTCTCTCTCTCTCTCTCTCTCTCTCTTTGCTTCCCTCTTTCCTGTTTCTCATCCTCCCTCCCTTGCTCAATCTCTTGCTGCCCCCTCTCCCATTTCTCTCTCTCTCTCTGCCTTAAAACATGGAAATCCCATCAGCCTTGTTTCCAACCCTGGAAAAGACATGCTCGGCGGACCATGGGGGAATCTCGGCTTATCCCAGACGGCTTTTAGAACGGGGCTCGCCGCTCATTTATCTGCCACGGGCTAGCGCAACGTTCCCAGAGTGATTTTGTAATGGACACTCGCTGGTCAATATTTGAACGTTCCCCCACCGCAAATTGTTTTGAGGGGAGACCGCGTAAGACCCTCACATTAGATTAATCCGTTGGATTTAGGGAGGCTAGTGTGACCCTGTGTGGATAGAGTTCAACTCCAACTCTTTGTGGTCGCCCACCACACGCACACATTCTTTATCTTACCCAAACCACATACTGGGCTGACGGGCTGAGAAACTAGGACTGGGGATAATGAAGGGAAAGACTTGATGACATGCAAGACAAGTGGTAGTTAACCGCTGTGAAATCTTCAATAAAATATTCTGCCTTCGATAGAACGCTTAGTCTAAATATTAGGCAATATACTTACTATAGCTACCTGCTGATGTCAGCATAAAAGGGAAAGTTCACCCAAATGACTAAATTCCTTACCCTGTAAGCAGTGTATGGACAAGTTAAGACAGCAATCCATGGATTTGCTTACCTGACTTAGTTCACCCAAATTACAGTAGTCAGGTAAACAATCTCTTTAATGTTGAATACTACCTGGCATTCCACATTCTTCCTGGTACCTGCACTCCAAAGCCACATGACTGACTGGACCATATTATGTGTCTTTTCCCACAGTGCTATGTGAATGTCACATTGAGATGCAAATGGTTCCCCTCCAGGAATGTTGCTGGGCATTTTTTAAATGTGCCAAACTCTAGGGGGGTGATATTTCACTGGTGTTTGGCAGTAAAAAGACTATTTCCCTCACCTCCCTTTCCCTTCTCTATCGCTCTCCCTCTCCTTTCTCTCTCTTTGCTCCCCTCTTTCCTGTCTCTCATCCTAGCCCAGCCTACAGTCCCGGCCAGCCGGCCACACAATATGCAAAGAGACCCTTTGGAATGAGAATATAACACAACTTAATGCAAGCAATGTGTTTTGTCCAAGAATGCGTGTTTTGCATTAGAACATCCCAATTGCAGCACATTTCTACCCCAAAATCTAGCCATGATATTACAGTTTTTCTCGATTGCTAAGACACATTTCTTGAAACCTTCACCCATTTTCTCAAAACTTTAAACACAAAACCAAATCTTCAAACTACATTCACAAAACCCCTGACTCTTCTGGCAAAATCAAACAATCGCCTCAAAACCATTTAATCTGTGCTCAAAATCAAACAATGCTTTCAGATCATACACACAGCCAGTCAATATATAAACACTACGGAGCGTTCATTAGACACTACATCAAAAAATGGAGAACACAGCGTCCAGGGCATGTAGTTACAGTTTTTTTCTTTTTTGTATATAGTAAACTCATTTTGCAATTAAAACAAAAAGTATAATAATCACAATTTAGTACAGTGAATATATTGTATACTGTAAGTACTGCAAGTAATACAGTATTGAATTTCTGTATATTCAGCGCTTGCATAAAAATACAGTAGTCCAATTGCAAAAGCCCAAAGAACAAAGAAAACTCTAAGTGAAAAGCACATTACAGTACACTCAAAAATATTGTGCAACTGCGAAATCAAAGTCAATGAGAGATTAATTCTGCCTCAGCATCACATCTTTGTGCTGGTTCCGGCCAGAAGACTTCGTCCACATCACAGGCAACGTTGTCCCTTGCCAGGCAACGGGGGAAAAACCCTCTGGTGTGCCGGATCCAGAAAACACT